CCATCCTTTCTTATCTAGAATAAAACGGGCTTACGAGAAAACCTGCTTCTCTGGGAGTATATCGGCCGTTGAAGGCAACTCCGTGGGACCACCGACAAGTAGCATTTATACCACGGTATAATCAAAGGTGTTCCACTAGGTTTTTCGAATGAGGAAATCAGGGAGAACATAATGTCAAGTATCGCGATAAAATCCCTAGAAAGATTTGCAAGGAAGGAAAAAATGTTGATGGATGATACCAACTCAGAATTTAAGTTCATACCAACCGAGACGGTAAAAATCGGGTTTGAGGGTGCCGACATTCCAGAAAAGATCTCACTTTTCGGGATGTGCAGCATGAAGGTATATCAATATATTCCAAAAGTGCGTCAGTGCTTTAACTGTGGCAGAATTGGGCACACTTCGGCAGATGCAAATCGGCGAGAAGGTGCACCAAATGTGGAGTGGGAGATTGCATCGGTACATGCACGGTTCTAAAGTGCATTTTATGCAATGGGAAGAATCATTCAGCCAGGGACAGACTTGTTTGACCAGTATGGGAAAAAGAAAATGACATTAATAAGATTATGACAATAAAGAAAATAGCAAGAAAGGAAGTGCTAAATACCTATTCAGTCCATCAGAATTATTCACAGATGGAAAATTATGAGGTTAATTTTCCCAAATTAGACAGAACTGAGGAAAATATACAAAATAAAAACATCAAAACCAATGAAATACTCAAAAAGCATAGCTATGCTAGCAGAGTAATTCAAAGACCAACCATTCCCATACAAAAACCACATTTTCAGCTAGAAGCTTATACAAACGATTCAGAAGCATGTTGTCGCAGTTCAGTTCAGTAAGTGGCATACGAAATATGTCCAAAAATTCACCAATCCCAACGAAAATACAACGAAAATACCACAAAGGAAATATAGGACACCAACAGAAGAAAATGAGAAAAGTTTAAAGTCTCGACGTGAATATGAAGTGCTTACAGCATAATATTCAATCGATTAAAGCAAACAAAATAAAAACGAGAAGGAACATATGAGTCGCTTCTGGGGACGCGACTCTACCTTATACCCGTACTCAGTCAGTATATACATTTTTGAGCTTATGATTATTTAGAATTTTAGAATTAAAAAAAAAAATTTTACATTTTACATTTTTTTGCTACATCTGTTATCTACATCTACAATGTATATTCTACATCTAACATGTAGATTGTACATGTACCATTTAGATTCTACATCTCCTTCGCTAGGGGTTGCTCGCGCACTGAACGCGGCAGAGTGTGCGAGCGAGAAAGACAATCAGTAGCGTCAATAGCGCTGGAGAAGGAGAGGGAACCAACAGAAAATTAATTTCTTCATTCTGGCTATAATTATGATCCGATCTAGTTCAGATTCGGCAGTCTGGTAGATATGGGCATTCTCTACGATACTGCGTTTTTAGTTTTAACGTATCTTTAAAAATGTTCCTGCCACAGATTTTCGTCCTTTGTGTGGGCGGAAGGGGGCGGGGCGAAATTTTTAAATACACTTGTAGCATTGTGATATCACATGTGTCTGGTTTCTCTGGCTCTTATAGTCTCTGAGATCCAGGCGTTCATCGAGACGGACAGACGGACGGACGGACAGACGGACATGGCTATATCGACTCGGCTATTGATGCTGATCAAGAATATATATACTTTATGGGGTCGGAAACGTTTCCTTCTCTGCGTTGCACACATCCACTTTTACCACAAATCTAATATACCCCTTAACTCTTTTTTGAGTACGGGTATAAAAACTTTGTGAGGGTTTTCATTCAACACTTAAATTTAGCGGGCAAAAAATTTAAATTTTGGTGTTCAGAAAATGCTCAAAGATTATGAGCGAAGAGTTGCCAAATCCAAAAGTTGTTTTGGGTAACTTTATACAAAACATTCCTTCTCAGATCCCTAATGAAAAGCAATTAAATAAACAAAGAGCAGCATTACACAAAATTATTTTTGAAACACTTCAACTCTGAGCTACAATTCTCATGGTTGCGCGTGAACTCCGAAAAAAGTGTCCGAAAAATGAAATCGCTAGATATCCTGTGGTACCTACGGATTTTTCGGTTGATTTGATAAATGTCTCGAGTCAAAATCTTTAGAGATTTCTGTGGAACCCCCGTATAGTTTAGTTTTAATTTTATTCGAATTTTACAATTGGCACTGTTTACAAAACACAGGTGATTCGTCAACCCTGTTTTAGTTATGTTCCACACCTTCACGGAATAAATAGCAAATTCCTGGCAGGAATTTTCGCAGGTGCTGGAGACAGGCCTATAACTGCAAAAATATATAGTTCGCTAATATTACTGTTATTGATATTTAAAGCGATAGTACGATATTCATTACGATATGACATCTTCGATATGATATTCTATTTGATATTTTGATTTATATCAATATCGATATTTGCTTGACGATACCCTCCCTTCCCTACTCGGAATTGACAACCTGGACATCCACGCTCAACTGATTGCAGGAAGGCAGCAAAACGCCTAGTCGGAGTCCAAGATGGAAGGAGAAATAGGAGCGGCCACATACTGTACAGACCCTGGTATAAGGCTGTTCTATAAGCTACCGGGCCAATGCAGCATATTCCATTTGTCATTCGGAAAGCGGCAAAGTCTGCTCAGTCTACGGATCGTCCACACGACGTAGCCAACCTGTTCGTGGACAGCCAAGCGGCGATAAGATCCATGCCGGCGTCGGGCTGTGGAACGACAGAATTGAGAACGTGTCTGTCACTCTTAGAACGCCACAAAAATATTAAGAGAGACGGACCAACACACAGGTCAGATTCAGGTGGAGGAGCACTACCATAAAGAATATATATTCTTAATTCGCATCAACAGCCGAGTCGATATGGCCATATCTGTCTGTCCGTCCGTCGTTATGAACGCGTAGTTCTAAGACTATAAGAGCTAGGGCAACCAAATTTGGATTCCAGACTCATGTGATATCACACTGTTACAAGTTTACTTCAAAAATTCGCCATAAAAAACTAAAAACGCAATATTGGAGAGAATGCCCATATCTACCAGATTTCTGAATCTGGTACAGATCGGACTATTACAGAATGAAGAATTTAATTTTCTGTTGCTAAGCTCGCCCCTATAAGCGCTACAGACGCTACTTATTCTATTTCTCGCTTTCACACACTCAGGACTGTGCAGTGCGCGATATTTCGCGGGAAAGATGTGGAATCTACATTGTAGATGTGCAATATACAGTGTTTATTTAGATTACAGATGTAGCAAAGTACGGTAATAAAAGTTGAGTCGCGGCCACAGCAGCGACTCACAACGTTCCTTATCGTTCATCACTTAGTACCGAGAGACTATATATAACAGAGAGCTTGAACATTTTGTATAAAGACTCCTATGATATCCAATTCAAATCAGTTTTTTATTGTTTTTTTTTTTTTGGTATTTAATTGCAGCCGTGCAGTCGTCGCACGACGATGAGTCCGCATTGACCAGGTATTTCAGTTCGATGATGGGGCTGTCGATATTTTCTTGTCTATCGATGGTTGTTAATGAGACCATGCATGGTGTTGCATTGGTATATTCTTATAATTTAAACAATATGATGCTTAGTTTAAAGTGTGGTCGTGTGTAAGAGTTTAACAAAATATATAGTAGTGAAATGGGTTGATGTGTATGTGTAGGTGTGTAAGGCAACAGAAGGTTGCCTCAGAAAGTAGGAACAACAGAAGGTTGCTCCTCAAGGTGACTTCCGTTGGCACCGAGTTAACCCGACCTGAACAAAATCCAGTGTGTTTCGGTTCACAACTGCAAACTAGCCTCATTAATAAATTTGGCCAATTCTCTAAAAAAAAGAGGCTTTCATGTTCCGCATTGTCGAGAACGTTGCAAACTTCGCTGATGTTGGTGTTTCTGGCTTTGATTTTGTGTAAAAAAAACGTTATCATAGGTACGATTATTTAACAGTCTTGGTTGCGAATGAGTGGACTGTATTAATCTTTATGTATTTTTATTTGATTCATATGTAATATTAGTGGTTTAAATGTTATTTGCACAGCGGGTTATATACAAAGCGGGGGTGACAATAGCGGTGCGATGATGAATACGCGTGCGGGTACTCTCAAGTATAGTTTGGTACTGACTCAACTCCACCAATAAAGTCGAGCCCAAAAGGGAATTAGAAGATCACGCGATGCGACACTCCAATACCAAGACGGTGCACATCGATGTCTTCGTGTGCAGCTGCGCGTTTTGGCTATACGCGTGAGAATGTTACAGTTAAGTTTTTGGACATAAGCAATAAGAACAGCGGGCAAACAATCGCGAGCATATGATTAGGGCAACTCTTATATGAATGAATATTGACTTAAAACTAAGCGATTAATTCCTCAACATACCGGCCCCCCTGAACGAATGTTCAGTTAAAGGGAAGCACAGCAATTTTGGTGATAGGTCTCTTGTACACTCCTCGGGCAGTTTTTACGGTGACCACTCGAACTCTCTCGTCTTGACCAGGATGAACTTCGGTGATGCGGCCAAGCAGCCACTTGCTAGGAGGTTGATTCGGCTCCTTCAGTACCACAAGCGTATCCACTGTTATGTTGTTGGTCTCCTGCTGCCATTTGGTGCGCGACTGCAAGGAAGAAAGGTATTCAAGATTCCAACGTTTCCAGAACCCTTGAACCTTGGCTTGCAGCTGTCTCCAACGCTGCAGTCTGTTAATGTTCACGTCCAAGAACGATGGCTCTGGCACCGACATATGAGGTTGACCTGTAAGAAAATGAGCGGGGGTAAGGGGATCCAGGCTGTGATCGCTGGGAGCGCACAGTGGGCGAGAGTTTAGTAGACCCTCAATCTGGGTTAAAACGGTGGAATATTCTTCGAAAGTTAATGCACTGCTCCCAATTACTCGGCGAAGGTGAAGTTTAATTGATCGTACGCCAGTCTCCCAAATACCTCCAAAATGCGGGGCAGACTGCGGAATGAAGTGCCAGTTGATTTCCTGACTCGTCAGAAAACTTGCAATGTCCTCATCTTGACTTTGAGATACAGCCATCCGTTGCATTTCCGTTAATTCCCGTCTGGCTCCGTGGAATGTTGTGCCATTGTCTGAGTATAAGTCGGATATAGGGCCACGTCGAGACCAGAATCGTTTGAAAGCTGCGATAAATGCGGAAGTCGTCAAATCACTGACGAGTTCGATATGAATTGCTTTGGTGGACAGACAAACAAAGATAGCAAACCAAGCTTTGCCAAACTTCGGTGTCCGACCTACCGATGTCTTGATAATAACTGGTCCAGCGTAATCCAATCCAGAATGCAGAAAACAGCGGGTGGGCTGAACCCGAAAAGCGGGAAGATCAGCCATGAGTTGTGTGCTCGTACCTTTACGCTGGAGGAAACAAATCTTGCAGTTGAATACGATTTTCCGGACTATGTTGCGGGCACCGAGAATCCAATACTTCTGTCTCAAAGTGTGGAACATAAATTCAACTCCAGCGTGTAGCGATGTGACGTGCTGGTGTCTAGCTAATAAAACAGCGACTGGTGATTCCTTTGGTAGAAGTATGGGATGTTTTGCCTCGTAAGTTGCCATTGAATTGTCAATGCGTCCTCCTACGCGCATTGTTCCTTGGTCGTCAATAAATGGAGTGTAGCGAATCAGTTTGGATTTTTGAGAAAGTGGTCGTCCAGTGCTTAGCTGCTTGTACTCCACTTGGAAGAACTCCATCTGAACGTGTTTGATTATCCTAGAGCGTGCATATTGAAGCTCCCATGATGATAAAAACGATGACAGGCGTTCCTTGCAGCGAAGACGGTGTACAAAACGAAAGCAGTAGCTTATTGTCCGCAAGAGATGTGACCAGGAGGAAGCCTTGTTAATCATACATTGAAGATCATTTCCTTCATCGGAAATGTGTAGATTAACTTGAGGCATGACCTTAACTTCCATGTGCGCAGCCTCCTCAGTCGACAGTGCAAACTTTGCCTTAGCAGGTGGCCAAGTGAGCCGTGATTGTGAAAGCCACGGTGGTCCATTCCACCACAGTTGATGGTCTACAAGATCCCTCGGTAAAAGTCCGCGTGATGCACAGTCCGCGGGATTATCCCCAGTGCGAATGTGATTCCAGCAACTACGTGGACAAGCATCTAGAATCTCAGCAGTCCGATTGCAAACATAAGTGTTCCAAGTCCGAGGGGGCGATGAGAGCCAATGCAGCACAACTTCTGAGTCAGACCAACATGAGGTACTGGAAATAGGAATAGTTAGTGCTTGCTTAACCAGAGACATCAATTTTGAAAGAAGATGGGCTGCATTCAATTCGAGCCGCGGAATGGATACAGGTTTGATGGGCGCAACACGGGTTTTTGCGGCGATCAGTCTGACAACATAGTCCTTATTGAGTTTCACGCGACTGTAAATAACAGCGGCGTATGCATGAGAAGATGCATCGGCAAATCCATGCAGCTCCGCTGCTTGAAGTGGTGAGGATATGTAGCGAGATATGCGACACGTTTCCAATAAATGAACTTCTGCTACAAACTGTTGCCAACGTGAACATAACTGCACCGGTAGTGGCTCGTTCCATTCGACCGAGCTCAGCCAACTATCTTGAAAGAGAACCTTTAGAAATACAGTACTGGGGGCAAGCAAACCCAAGGGATCGTAGATCTTGGCAAGCTCCGACAGCAAAATCCGTTTTGTCAGAGCAGTTGTGGCGTCGGGAATGGTCAGCTTGAAGGAAAGATTGTCAGCAGCCGGGTCCCAACGTATTCCAAGAACCTTCACATGTTGAGCTGGGCTCTCTTCTTCTAGAGCTTCAAGGGGGTACTCACAAATGTCCTTTGGCAGCGATTGTAGTAGTGGCCAACAGTTTGAACTCCACTTTCGAAGTTTAAATTGAGCTCGACTCAATAACAAAATCAATTCATCCTTGAGTGCAATGAGTTCGTTGATATTATCGCATCCCGTAGGAATATCATCCACGTACGCGTCCCTTACCAACACCGCAGCAGCATTCGGATACAACTCGGCATGATCTTGAGCGATTTGCTTGAGAACTCTAACAGCCAGAAACGGTGAAGACGCTAAACCATAAGTCACGGTCAGAAGTCGGTAATGATCAAGTGTAGCAGTCTCCTCCTTTCGCCAGACAATACGTTGGTACTGCGTGTGTTCTTCTGAAACTAGGATGCCTCTAAACATTTTCTCAATGTCTGTACAGAACACATAACGATGCTGTCGGAACCGTAAACAGACTCCAAGTAAATCCCTTTGAATAGGTGGTCCAATGTGTAGTCGTGAATTGAGTGAATATCCCTTGCAGTCCTCCCCAGAGCCATCAAACACAACTCGGCATCTCGTAGTGGTGCTGTCTGGTTTAAATACTGCGTGGTGTGCTAAATAATTGTGACTGGCGAGATCCTCGGCTAAGGTAGTAGGAGGAATCAACTCCATGTGTCCTCGTTGTAAGTAATCCTCCATAAAGTCGACATATTGTTGTTTGAGTGCCGGAAACTTTCGAAATTTCCGTTCGAGAGAAGAAAAGCGGCGTATGGCTTGCGGCAATGTGGATCCCATCGGCGGAGCGGAATCCTTGAATGGATATTGGACGACGTACACTCCATCGTCTCTGCGGGAATGCGTTTGAACGAAGTGTTGTTCAGCGGGATCACTAGCGTCAATGGTAGCGCTACTTGGTTGAACTTGGTCCATGTCCATGAACGATCGGACTAAAGTATCCAGACCCTCGTGAGCATGATGAGCTAGTGCGTGGGTGTAATCATCAATACCGATATGGTAACTGCCTGTAATGACCCAACCAAATTTAGTATGAAGTGCAATAGGATATGCGAAACCAAACTCTTTGCGTTCTCCAGTGTATATGTTCCAAAGTTGATCAGCTCCTAAAATCAGGTCGATTTCACCTGGTGTCCCAAATGTAGGGTCTGCTAAGGGTAGCTCAAAAATCTTTCCCCACATCGGGGTGTTCGACTCAATCCTCTGTGCTGGAATCGAGGATGTTAAAGTACTCATAATCAGACCTGTTACCACTACGGATGTTGTGCTTGTGCGCGAGAGCAGCGTGAACGTGGCGCGACCTCGAGTAACGCCAGCCGGGCTTGCACCTAGGCCAACAACTGGTATACGAGCATGCGTGCGCGACAGCCCTATCCGTTGAATAAACGACTCGGAGACCATCGTTATCGTCGAACCAGTATCCATCAAGATCCTGCAGGTTGTCTCATTGCCCCAGGAGTCGACTATAGTGGCTAAAATTGTTGGCAATATAGCTTGACTAGTGGCCAATTTCTCTCTCCAATGTATGATGGCTGACCACGGCAGGATCAACCTCAGCAGCATGCATGGGCGAGCGCAAGTTTGGGTCAGCGGATGTATTGACAGCAACACTCGGGGTGGTGCGAATCTCTTCTGGATGGACAAGAGTGTGGTGCCTCGACTTGCACAGACGGCACGTATTTGTGGAATTACAATCCTTTACTTGATGAGATCGACTTAGGCAGTTGAAGCACAACTTACCCTCCATTGCAAATGTGCGACGATCCACGACGTTCATAGCTTTAAATTGAGTGCACACATACAGACTGTGTGGCCCGTGACAATATACGCAACCACGAGCAGATGTAGTTGGCACGTCCACATGATGAGAAACTGCACGACGTTTGGGAGAATCATGAACTACTGTTAACTCTTGACAGGACTCCAGCGCATCAAACCGGGCGAAGAGAAAGGCGAACAGGTCATTTATGGTCACATTTTCCTTGCACGATTCACTGGACGTAGCCCAAGCTTCCTTGCATTCAGGGTCTAATTTTGAGAGCAAGATATGGATAAGCCATACATCGCGGCTGTCGCATTTCAGCGCGTGTAGACCACGTATACTCTCGTCCGCGGTGTCGACTATGTTACGCAACTCGATTATGTTTGAACTTTTTGCAGTTGGCAGCGAAAGAAAGTTTTGAATGAACGACCGCGCAATCAGTGATTTTTTATTATAACGATTTTTTAGCCTCTCCCATGCGTCCTGGTAATTATCGTCAGTAATGGGAATATGTTTAATCAGGGACAAAGCTTCACCATCTAGATACGACTTTAAATAATGGAACTTTTGACAGTTGGAAAGACTACTCTTCTTGTCGACTGAGCCTAAGAACAGATCACTAAACTGACACCAATCTTCGTATCTTCCAGAAAATGTAGGAAGGCGTATTTTTTCGAACTGCAGCTCAGCGGGTCGCGCTGACTCCCGAATCTTCTCCAAAAGTTGTGTTTGTCCCTCAAATAGGCGTTCCACAGTACTAGATATCAGTAGATTTGACGAGTCGTGTCCATTATCGTGACTGCTCCGCTCACTTATGGCTCCAGTGAGAACGGCATGGGCACTATAAAACTTTCCCTCATACTCGGCGATATCCAAATTCGGATCCACAAATCCGTCTTCCTCATTGTATTGAACTAAGTCCTCAGAGAGCTCCATAAAGCGGTTGAAAGTTGCAGCCAATCGGTCCAACTTGTGTTCTAATGTTTGCACAGACGTGCACGACTGTACAAACTCCTGAGCCTCCGTAGATGCACGAGTTAGTTGGGATTTGCACGCACCACGCTGCTGAATTATGCGATGTACGAGAGTCTTCATGACGACCAGCAATATCACTCAATATATTTCAAATAAAATTAGCCGGAGATCCGGCTCGAAGGACCAAAATTTTCTTATGGTTGCGAATGAGTGGACTGTATTAATCTTTATGTATTTTTATTTGATTCATATGTAATATTAGTGGTTTAAATGTTATTTGCACAGCGGGTTATATACAAAGCGGGGGTGACAATAGCGGTGCGATGATGAATACGCGTGCGGGTACTCTCAAGTATAGTTTGGTACTGACTCAACTCCACCAATAAAGTCGAGCCCAAAAGGGAATTAGAAGATCACGCGATGCGACACTCCAATACCAAGACGGTGCACATCGATGTCTTCGTGTGCAGCTGCGCGTTTTGGCTATACGCGTGAGAATGTTACAGTTAAGTTTTTGGACATAAGCAATAAGAACAGCGGGCAAACAATCGCGAGCATATGATTAGGGCAACTCTTATATGAATGAATATTGACTTAAAACTAAGCGATTAATTCCTCAACAAGTCTATTTATGACCTTTATGTTTTTTGCACTCCAGTCGAGAGCCCAGTGCCATGGTTTGACTGGAATTTCATTGTAAATTGACGCAAAATAAATTCCTTTGGTTTTTGATATTTCCTTGTACTCATTGATCCAATCCGTCTGAACTTTTATTTTAACTTTTATTATTACTTCATCGAATGTTAGGGGTAAATTAAATAGTTTGCCTACATTAGTGGCTGATTTGGCTAGTATATCAGTCTTTTCATTAATGGCAATATTCTTGTGACCGGGTGTCCAGTGCACAATAAAGTTGCTCGTGAAGGAATTGTCCATATTGAGGTGGATTTCGTCTGTTAAGTATGAATTTGATTCATTTTTCTTCAGAGCCTTTAAGGCGCCTTGACTATCGCAGAGAATTACAGTTTTACTGTAACTTTTTATATTTGATATCTTAACTGCCGTTTATATACCTACAAGCTCTGCAAACACAGATGAGGAACTATTTTCAGTCGTAAACATATAGCTAAAGTGACTAGGGTAATCTAAGATACCTATGCCTGTCTTATCACCATTGATGGATGCATCAGTGGAAAGAATGTTCCATCCACCTGACACCCATTCTTCAAGCTTAGCTTATCGCATTGCATTCTTCGTTTGAGATGTCAGTTTTTTTCCTGTCAAAGACTGACAGACAAATTAAGGCTTTGGGACTATGTTTGTACTTCTTGTCGAAAAGATCACTATATTCTTGGTACACAGCTGTGTAGGCAGTCTTTGCAGTGGATTTAATAACATCATTATACAAGGTCGGGCTTAGAGACTTTACTTTCAGTAGTTCTCTGACTGTGAGAATTTTAGCTCTGTGTTTGGGAGGTAAAATACCGGCCAGAGCAAAAATCAGAAGCGTAGATGTTTTTGGAGGCACACCCACGCAACGGCGAAGACAGTCCGTCTGTGCAGTGTTAAGAGACTTGCTGTTGCTAATGTTTAGATTCGAAAAACTAGTAATGGCATGTTCCTGCTGAGATCTGATGAAGGATTTGAAGATGTTGGACGAAACCTTGGGTTTGAGTCCCGCTTTGATGGTAGATCACATGCAACAAAAGCTCACTTTTGTCTGATTTGTCCCTGATTTTTGCAATGTGCAATTTGTCTGACATGTTGGCACTAATGACCCTGCCTAAGAAGGTAATTGACTCCTTTATTGGGAAAGTGATATTATTGCATGTAACTGCGATGTTATCACGTCTTCCCCTACTGCAAAACATAGCTGAGGATTTGCTGGGGTTGAAATTAAGGCCTAGATCTTGACAGAGAAGGTGAAAGTCGTTGATCTTTACCTGTAAGTTTTTGCTAGCATCATTTATGTTGTTGCCTGTTGAGATGATGGCAAAGTCATCAGCAAATTGAATAATGGACGTATGTGAATCATTGTCAAAATTGTTTCGCTCCCTCAAAGTTAAATATATAATAAGCTTACCGACCAGATTGCAGAATCAGGTTGTGATTCGATCAAGATTACAGTATAAAGCGAAAATTCAGTTATGAGAAAATATTGCCTCGATCCGTCATATTTCATTTTAGTTTAATTGGGCTCGGAACTCACCTAGAGATGTAAGGACTAGGAAGATGATAAAAATTCCAAACTCCATAAGAGCATCGCGCACCTCCTCGTCAGTTGTATAGAGAATACGCGATGTCTTCACTTTTAGATGTTGTGGGACGGTATTCTCGCGTCCTAATCCATTCATAACTGTTGACTTTTTTGGACTCGCACCTATTGCAACCTTCTTTCGTCCGAATAAGCCGCGTTTCTCCGCTTTCAGCGTAGTCTGGCTCTCTGCTCCGGCTGATACCTTAAGCCGGATAGATTTCGAAGCTGATTTTGCACCGGGAGCGTTTTTTGGAAACTGAACACTTGTGAGATCCTGTTCTCGGACCGTGGCTAGTCTTTCTTCTAATGCAGTATTTATCCAGGCACGGTGCTTACTTGGCTGCGGAACTTTAAGTGCCGTGCTTGGTGGCAGGCCAGGACGCCAATCCTCTGCATCCGATCTCTGTCCATGTGAGGACATTTTTATACCAAAATTTTTTTTTGCAATTTTCTGTTGTTTGGGGAAAATTTCTTTAAACGGAAATTTAAAAACCGCTTGCTGTGTTTTTAATTATTTTCCAAGAGTTACTTTAATGATATGTAAACTGCACAGTCCCATGCCAATGATCGAAAAGTATCTTCAACTACTCACAAAACGAGAAAGAACGTTGTGGGTCACTTCTGTTGCCGCGACTCTACTTTTATACCCGAACTTAGTCAGTATATAAATATGTGAGCTTATGATTTATGTAGTCGTGGCTTATGATGTAGTCTTGTCGTCGTCGACGTCAATGTTTTGTGTCAAGATTATTGAAAAATGAGAATAGTTTTTCTAATTGACAAAAAAAAACCGGAAAATTAATTTGGTGGCGTTTAAAGGTTTATTCAAAGGCGGGACGAAAATTAATTCTGTGTGCGCTCGATCGAAATTTCAATTAACGATTATATTCTCTTTCTTCATACAAATCGTTCTAAGCCTAGCTAACCTACGGTGGCAAAGCGGGCGAATTTGCCTTGAGCGAAAGAGCGAGCTTTTATTGCGCTCCCGCCTTGCCGTAACCTACTTACACAAGACTTTAAAGAATTCAAAAATAATCTTAACATAAAACATTGACTAAGACGATGACATGACGAAACACCGGCCCCGTTGAAGGCCTGCGCGGGTTCAACAATATGGTAGCGGCGCCAACTTGTGGATGGCCCGCCGAAAAACGCCTGAGACTGAGGGCTCCCAGCGGCCTGGAGTTCAGGACGGCCTCGATCCCGACGAGGACTGTAGCGAGCTCTTCGGCGGTCAAGAGCGCGCTGCCTACCGCCCGTAGGAGTAGGCTCTTCGCAGACTTGACACCTGCCTCCCAGAGTCCTCCATGTGCGGCGCTCGAGGCGGTATGAACGCAAATTCGCATCCGTTTTTTGATGCGAATCCGCGAACTGCGTCCGCCCCGTCCTCGAGCGCCTTCTGCAGAGCGCTGAGGTGGCGGCTCGCTCCGATGAAATTCGTCGCGATGTCGCAATGGACGATCTGGGGATATCCTCGGCGCCCAACGAATCTTTGGAAAGCCAAT